CCTGGGACTACAGGCGACCGCCACAACGCCCGGCTTCTTTTAGAGACAGGAGTCTCGCTCTTGCTCAGGCTGGTCTCGAACTCGTGAGCTCAAGCGATCCACCCGCCTCAGCCTCCCAGAGTGCTAGGATTACAGACGTGAGCCACCGCGCCCTGCTAAAGATCGGGTTTTGATGCTCCTTATTAAAATGCACGAGGCTGGAGCGGGTGGCTCACTCCGGTAATCCCAGCAGTCTCAGAGGCTGAGAAGGGTGGATCGCTTGAGTTCACGAGTTCGAGACCAGCCTGAGCAAGAGTGAGACCCTCCTCCCCCATCTCTTCTAAAATAGAAAAACTAGCCAGGCTTGTGGCGGACATCTGTAGTCCCAGCTACTTGAGAGGCTGAGGCAGGAGGATAGCTTCAGCTCAGGAGTTTGAGGTTGCTGTGAGCTAGGCTGACGCCATGGCACTCTACCTAGGTCTTAGGGGGACAGAGTGAGGCTTTGTCTCAAAAACAAAACTAAACAAACGCACAGCCCGGGGTGGGGTCACTGAGTCTTTAAGGCAACTCCTTGGGAGCGGCTTGGGGACACATGGAGAAGGGCACCGGCGCCCTCTAAGAGACTGGCCAAGGGCCACGCTGTCTCATGGAATTCTACCACTCCGCAGGTGGATGTAATTACCATTTTGCACATAGTCACGAGGAAACTGAGGCACGGAGGGGTTAAGTAGCTTGAAGCAGATCGCGTAGTAAATGGGACAGCTGCTGGTGTTACGTGTGCCTCGGTGAAAGTACCGTCCGGGCCGGCCTTGGGGGAACTATCCTGGCCTGTTGGGTGTCCCAACAGCGCGTCGTGTGGCGTTCATCCACGCGCAGGCTAGTGAGGTGAGTGAAGTCGCCTCCTGCTCCCGGGACACTGCAGTGGGGCCGTCTCGGCTCCCGATGGGGGCTGGCCCCAAGTATTTTCCGTGGGATTCGCCGCAGCCGTCTGAGGGCGCCATTTCCCAAAACAGAGATTGTCCTTTAGGGTTGCAAGTCGGCTTCCTTTACGCTGCTGAAACTCTGCTGTCCTTGACATTTTTACTTGTTGGGCAGGAGGATGGCTTTTTGGGGGGAGTGAAATAATTCCCTCATTCCATCGCTTTGGCCCCTGCCTGCACCCGGCCTGCGGCGAGGACGCCCTGTTGCGAGATGGGCAGCTTCCTCGCGCCGGCGCTCGGGGACAGGTGCCTGCGCTCTGTCTCCGCACAAGTTCCTCTGCCCCCAGAGATCCAGACGGGAAATGTTAAGAACGAGGCCCGGGCCTGCGACCAGAGAGTATCTTTGCTTCTCTTTTTAAGAAAAGAATAGCCTGGTCTGAGAGTGAGCAGTGCCGACTCCTAACCCGAGCTCTTGCGCGTATCTCAAACACACCAAGGGTCAATCTGGCCCCAGGTCGGGGGCTGGGAACGCAAAAGAGGGGTCCGGCCCGCCCTGGAGCAGACAGAAGCGGGCTCAGCACCCTCCTTTTTGCCCTGGACTTGGAGGAAGAAGGGCTCGGGAGGGGCGGCCGAGGCGCAGAACGTGCTGGGCTGGGGACTGGGGGAGAAGTAGG